CAGCCAATGTTCTGGACTTTTTTCTCCTTAAAGGCTGCCACTTCAGATCCATCCAAACCCTCACCGAGTTATCCTCTGACCATAACCCGGTCAGAGTGCCATAACCGGCAGATACTCAACCCCACGGTCATGATACAGGTAGGGACCTCTGTCTGTAGCACACCACACAAAAAGGCCTTCATCACTAACTGGGCAGGATATGCCAAAGCCTTAAACAAAACAACTACACATTCCATTCCAACACCCTCATGGGTGATGAGTTAGAGATGCAGTGGTCCAACAATTTCACCTCTGACCTAACAACTGCCCTGGATGCCAACAGCACTCCAGTCTCTCATAGGCAAAAAGGCCTACTGACCCGGAACTAAGGAAACTCATCCAGGAAAGAAATGCTGCCTGAAAGGTGTGGCAAAGATACCGCTTCCCTGCTGACAAGACCACCCTCAACAGACTCAACCAGGTCAGGACTCGTACTCACCAACACACACAACGCGACTAGACCAACTACCTCACTTCCCTTTCAGCAGATAAAAGCTCTGTCTGGAAGGCAACTGCTAAGCTTAAGAGATGCCACACCAATATTCCGCCCTTAAACGGCCAACAGAATATTGCCCTCACTGAAATTGAGAAAGCTGAGTCACTAGCTGATCACTATGCTTCTCGATTCTGCACATTTCTCACCCTCAAACAGAACACCTGGTTAACACTACACTAACAGAATTCCTCTCAAAACAACACACGAACAACATTACTCCTGTCAAACCTTCAGAGGTCTACGGCTACATCGAAAAACTTCTCATCAAAAAAAGCCCAGGAATAGATAAGATCTCAAATAAAATGATCAAGTGCATGGGAGTCCTCATGTTGCTGAAACTGGTATCCATCATAAATGATATGCTACGACTGGGACACTATCCAACGCCCTGGAAAATGGCCATCATCATTCCTGTACACAAGCCTGGCAAGACACCAGCAGAGCCAGCCTCCTACCGGCCTATTAGGCTCCTGTCCTCGCTCAGCAAGGTAGAGCTGAGCACATCATCATGCAAAGAATCCTTGGCTACACGGACCTGTATAATATCATCATCCCTCAACAGCACAGGTTTAGAAAAAAACACTCACCGGTCCACCAGCTGTACCGAGTGACAGAATACATCTCCCAAGGACTACAGGAACGCCAGACTACAGGTGCCACCTTCCTCGATGTAGCTAAAGCCTTTGATCGTGTTTGGCTGGAGGGCCTCATGTACAAAATTATCTCTCTGGGTTTCCCAGAATACATCACAGCCATCACCTACTCCTATCTTAAGAATAGACACTTTATCATTCGTGTAAACAGCAGATACTCAACCCCACGGGCTATCAGGGCCGGTGTCCCGCAAGGGAGCCTCCTTGGGCCCATGTACTATAATATCTACACAAACGATATCCCACAATCACCACACACCACCCTGGCAATGTACGCCGACGACATGGCAATTCTCTCAAAAAATGCATCTCCTGGTCCAGTTATACAAGCACTCCAATCACACATCCACACACTCGAGTCCTGGCTCACTGCCTGGAAGTTCAAGATCAACGTGGACAAGTCTGAGGCTATCTGGTTCACGAAAAGAGTTAACATTGACTCTGAAGACTGTATCACCATGTATGATACACCTGTCCAGTAGACTAGGCAAGCACGATACCTAGGCATTACTTTAGATAGGCGACTCACATGGATCCCACACATTACACAGCTTATTGCCAAGTTCCGTGCTCGTAAACAAACACTTACCCCCTTAATTAGCTGGAACTCCGTTCTCTCTATAGATAACTAATTGCTAATTTACAAAACCCTTTTGCGTCCCATACTTTCTTACGCCTGCCCTGTTTGGGGATATACCAGCTATACAAATATTAAGAAAATCCAAGTGTTACAGAATGTAATACTTAGGCAAGCAACTAATAGCCGATGGTTCATTCGGAACACGGCAATGCATGAGGAATTTGAAATTCCTACTATTTATACTCACTTTGCCCTACTGGCTGAGAAATTCTTTAATAACATCCCCAGTATAAACAATAGTACTATACCTGTCCATGCAATATGATTTTACAAATGAAGTTAACAGTAAACGGCGGCAATTTCCGGTCTTAAGATACTTATTGTAATTCAACATATAAATTAATCTACTATGCACTCTCCCCGATATTCTATGCCTTTGATTTGGATTACCGTCTGTTGTATATATTGTATATAGTAATTTTTCTTTTTTGTATACTTATTATTTCTTATTACTGCATATGTTGATATTTAATTATGTAAACATGTGGTCACCACTTGGACTCTGATTCTCAGCAAGAAATAGGCAATTTCTTTTATCCACTTATGCCATTGCCATGAGTGCTTATCTCCGCCAAGGCCTTACTGGAGTATGTTTTTTTCGGACTCTCTCATCGTTTCTCCCCAGATTTTTTGTGTTATGAACTCAAATTTGATTCTTTGAATTTTTTTCCTCCATGAACTCAATTTGATTAAACACATAGAATTTTTCTCCAAATATTCGCACACACAAAGATTCAAACAATCGAAAAATGCTACGCCGGGATAGCGTCATAACGCGGGAACCCGTATAGCGATAAACTCGTCGAGTTTGCCTGACCCGAAGTGCTCGAATCATTAACAAAGGATAATCTATCACGAATGTGGCAAGAACTACAATACCACATAGACATTTGCTATGTCACTGGAAAGGCACACATAGAACACTCATAGAAACTTTGATAAATATAGTTCCTCTTTGAATATGATTTGGCAAAATAAAGCAATTAAAGCAGGTATGTTTTCTTTTTATTCCGTTCAATACGAAACAGCCTGTAGCTGCAATTTTTTGAGACCTACAAACATATATGTGTTCTGATTAACAAGAGAAAAACAAGCATCTTAGAAGAAATTAACGTAATAATTACTGTTATGTACATGCAACTAAAAAGATAATTACTGGGTGTCCTAAAAGTAGTGCCAATTTTGAAGGAAAATTGAAACGAAGATAATTTAATTTTAGTACACATTTATTAAATTATATGTTCTATAACCTCCCTCCATCATTCAGGCAACTTAAAAATTCTGTTCCTTTAGAATGTATTCTAGTGCTTCATTAATGGGAAAATTAAATCCTGATTTAACAGCCCAAAACAATTTTATGCATCAGATAATAAACAAGTTACAGTAGAGAGCTACGAAAGAAAAAAAAATGAAGGTTCGTTATTCAGTAACAAAGGACTAGATAAAGTACATTTCAACGTGTAGACAGAACACATTTACAATAGTAATACAGTACAGATCAAACAGAAAAAATAAAAAAAAAAAAAAAAAAAAAAAAAAAAAAAAAAAAAAAAAATCCCAAACTGAGATTATATCAAGATTAAATTATACAATAAAATTCACACAACAACTAATACAGTTACAATAATGCCCAGTTGCAAATATAATGTTACTTTTTTAAACATAGCAATAAAGTCTCTTAAACAAAAGCAAATCAGAAAAATTAACAAAAAACACTAGAAACAGATGCACACAATGAAGCAAATGCTTCTGTTTGATAAACTGATAATTTATAAGAACATAAAAATAAATGAGATTATCTAACATTATTACAAAACAGATATAAAAACCAATAATAACAATGTGGAGAGCACTGAAAATTACTGACTTACGATTAACTGCCAGAAGCTCCTAAAAAATGTGAAAAACATAATAGTAAATCTGTTTTATCAACAGAAAAAAAAAATTATTCACATTGTCAACCAAAATTTTGGAAATAAAATTTTATACATACATATAATTATTTATTTTTATCATTATATCTGCTTAAATACTGATATAATTGGATAAAGGAATCACAGCAAAAAAGTTACACTAAACAACCAGAAACCTATATTAAACAAATCAAGAATATGCATATTTAGAAAAACAATGCACTTATTCACATTTCCATTTTAAAACCCGAGCTTATTAAAGACACTCTATAATTAAATTATAATCTATAATCAAACTTCAAAACACAAGTGAATAGTTTATGCTACCATGCAGTAAGTGTTTATTTTGTGATCAGAGGTAAAATTACCAACATTTAGAAGAATCAAAAACAAGTGAAAGCAGATTAAGTCATGCAAACTGTGCCAATGATTAACGGTTGGATTTAAATAAAAATTTTGGGGCTAATCAAAGTAGGCAAGGATCTCCATATAAGAAATTTACATGCTGTGTAACAAATTAAGAGGAGGAAAATAGTGCACATGCAAAATGTACCATTGACATTCTTTAACGCAAGCCAATTTACCTTGCAAACAAGACATTCCAAATTCACATAAACTTTATTCGTGTCAAAAATACAAATTTGTGAAAAATTTTATGATCTAATAATACTGACCTGACATCTGAATTAATGAAAATTTTGGGTGCTTTTACTGCAAATGCAATGGAGTTTAAGTGATACAATTGAAACTTTGTGTATAACTGATATAGTCAAGTCCTACAGACATCTAACTAAAATTACATTCCTGCAAATTTCTCTTTATATGCATTTTTAAATTAATGTACTGAGTAAAACATCATACTTTCCAGATATGCAGGGCAGTGGATAAAGCCTGTTGCTTGGATCCTAGGATCTTTATCCCAGATGAAGGTAACAAACCACATTCTCACACAAAAAAATATATACACATTCTCTAAGAGATTCATCAGAGCTACATCATTACTTAGTTGCACACATTATTTTGAAAAAGATTAAGAGCAACTTCATGTTGGAGTAAATTAACTACCTATAACCTTTAATAACAGAGAATATAATCGGTATAATGCTTAACCCTCTGAGCGTTATGACCGGCTTTATATGGTCATCAGAAGTTTTGCAACTTGGCATATATTAGCTTATAATTCAAGATATTTTACTTTCTTTAATAACATAAATATCATCTTAATGAATGTAAGTTTATGAAACTATAGACTAAAATAAGTAATTATACAAACTCAATTAATACATGCTGTTTAAATACCGGTCTTCATCATGGATCTAAAATCCTGTGCCGCTCAGAGGGTTAATTTGCAAGGATTAAATTCTTTTACAAATTTGCATTTTGATCTGTTCAATTTATACTTGCCCTCTTCTTTCTTAGCTACTTTAAAATTTATGACGGCTTTTAACACGGAATTAGGTATAGCTATGATAAATAATAATACTTAAAGAGTCACTGGCAAATACAATAATTTCAAAGATTCTTCAAACAAAAACTAATACCTTCATAAGTTTCAGAAAAAGTTACTTTATGTAAACATCATCTGTATATTACAAAATTTAGTAACTGGATTAAAATTAAAAACCTTGGATTATGTGCTGTTACTGATTTGTATCATAATGCCTGTCAGAAAAGAACGAACCACTGTTTTTAGATGACCTTAAATGGCATTTAATAACATTTATAATTAATGGTTATTTGACAGAATTGATGGTTTTTTAACAGAATGAGCTATTATACAATTATGCATAATGGTACATGAAACAGTCTGTCTGTTGTCTTTCTTCACATCGCTCACATTGGTTACTCGCCTTCTCATTATACAGAACACGAGAGCTTTAGAAGTTTATTCATAAGTGGTTATTCAGATTTTCAGCATATACTTTAAGATGAGGCTTAGTAACGTTAATGATTAACTATCTCACAGGCAGAAGCATTAAGTAGCCTTTAATTATTATCTTGAAGAAAACTCCGTCCTGTCTTATAAATGTTTCATTCCATTTAAGGTTATCAGTAAGATACGATCCATGCCTGCAGAAGAACAGAGGCAGAATAAAATCTAAAATATACCAAGAAAGGGATAACCAATCGCATCATTATAGGCCATGCAATGTTTCCATAAAATTTCACTTGCAAGTCACTTTTTGCATGATTCCACAAAATAAAGCAGTCCAGCAACCACAAAGAAATATTACAAAATGCAAGAAAGAAAACTACTTGCCTGCCTGGCTTTACATACATATTTGAATTATCTATTCTTTTTCTCGATACTTCAAAAATAAACACATACTGTGTACTAGCATGTAGCATCATAAGTATAGCTTCACATGAAATAAGAATGCTTATAGTGTCATCAGATAATGCCCCAACAATTATATTGCAAGAGCCATATATATAAACTGAAATTATTCCAGAAGTTTGGAAGAGTTTTATAAACCGAGTTCTACAATTACACTTACTTACAGACATCCTTTTAACCTGAGTAAGACCCAAAATTGAAGCACAAAATGATAATATAAATATTATACAATATATACTTCTAAGAACAATATAGTTCATATTTCTGGATGTTAAAAACATAATTGTAATTATTATGCTTGATACAAGAATGAGGAATCCACAAAAGAGACCTTTAGTTGATCGATTGCAGATTCCATTGTTGTCCCTATCATATGGAACATATGATGTAAAACTGCATTTCTTTGTATCAGGCCTAGACTCTTCCCATATTAAATATAAGACACATACTACTACAAAACAATACTGAGATGTAAATGGATACAAAAATGTAGCTGCTTTCTCAGATATATTTCCAACAGTAGAATTTAAAAGGCACATTTGGATAGCAACAGTATCAATCACTTCTTGATATTCAGATGTTCTCCACCAACAATTGGATGTAACTATGAAAATTAAAATAATTTAATCTTTTTAATATGTATTCTCAAAAAACAAATTAAATTACACTGAACGAAAGCAATAAACTCTGCAACTTATATATGCATTATTTGCAACACTTCAGATATAAAAGTATGTACATGAATATAAAAAATTCTGAACATAAGAATATCACATATGACAAATGCATGATGAGTTTGTATGCCTACAACAAAGTTCTATATATAATATTATAATTTGCATTCTGCACAGTATAAGCAATTAAGATCTGGAAGGGGGAGGAAACCAATTTTTGTGGAAATTGAAGTAATAATGGCCCTCTTGCAGGTAATAGGAATAGCTTCTATATTATGAATTGACTTTAGAAGAAAGAGTATTCATGTCTGCAACGGTAAACAGGAAAGCTAACATACCCCACAAATCATTACCTCACCCATTTTATAATGCTTTGTCTGTGATGCACCCATGGTTTTTTTGGAAGAATCTTCGTCCAATAATGCATCTTTCCGAGTATGTTATTTCCAAGACGGAAAATGTTATGATGTGGAAGTTTGTATCATTCCATGGCATTACAAAGAACTGGGTTTAAAAAATGAGAGAAACTTTGGCCATTGCTGGAAAAGGCACCAGTACATGGCAGAGGAAAATATACAAGTCCAAAAGAAACTATTTCTAAAATAATCAACTTTATCAGCTTCAACAAAGTGAGAAAGTCTCAATATTTCTTAAAACGAGTAAGAAGATACGCCTGCCAGAGTTAATATCATAAAATGATATGACATGTACACTGCCCCTCCTCCAAAAAACGAGGGCTGTTAGTTCTACTGGGCCGATTGACTAAATTCAAATTGTGTTTTTTATGTCTCGAAAGTGAGACTTATGATATATATTAGATTTATGCACTGTTCTAATATAAGCATTTTGACACAAAATGTGACTTTTTCTGAAATGACATACCAATTTCTTTTTCCATATTTCAATTCTACGATTCAAATTATGCCTAAATATTAAATTTTGTAAAATTTGGTGCAAAATTTAAAAATTTACCTTGGTACACTTTTTTCAGTTTGTGCCAAAAACAATTCACTTGGTGAACTTCTTAATTTATAGCAATCTATTTTCCTTTCCTTTTTTCACTTTCAAACGAGCAGGAAAAAGTCATCGTCCATTATTTCACATAATTTTAACAAACTGCATAAACCACATTTGGCATTATTATAACTTATAACAAACATGCCAAATTTCAAAATGCGCCAATATGTAAATTCACATATATCCTAGAAAATTCTGAACAAAAAACACATTTTTTGCAGGTATGCTTAGAAATACATCTACTTTAAGACGATATGTTATAATTCAAATGTTTTTTCAAAAAATTTATAAAAATGATTTAAAAATAAATCAGAAAAAAGGGTGAATTTTATTTGGAATGAACCTAAATTTCAAAATGTGAAAGGAAGAATCAAAAATTATAATAAAAAAAAGAGATATTAAAAATATACATCAAATTCGATTAACATTGAGGAGTTAAAACCTTAAGAGCTAATTCCTTGAAAACTACTCGTGCGATTTTTACAAAACTTGGCATAACTTGAGTCGTAGAATCAAAACATGGAAAAAATTGGCATGTCATTTTAGAAAAAGTCAGATTTTGTGTCAAAATACCTATATTTAAAAAATTTTTATACAGTACAAAGTCCATAATCCGGACTTCGGACTCGTCGGACTTTTGTACATTTTGATACCCTTTATATCGTAATTGCTCTTTGTTCCATAAATTACGGTTTCATATTTTTAATTGTATAATTTCTGCATGCCATCTTGCCAGATTTAAATTGATCTATAATGCGGAAAAACCCCTAGTCCAGAATAGGATTATGGATTACGAGTCCAGATTATGGACTTTGTACTGTAATACAAATTTTGTGAAAGAAAGACAGTTCTCATATCACAAATTGTTAGCATTCATAAAAATTGAGTTATTTTAATAAGAGACTATTATAAAAAGCGCACTTGATTAGACAATATTTTGTAATGGATATTTGTAATGGACAGTATTTTGTATTGTATTTAATGGAATGCAAAATTTTAAAATGTACAAAGGAAAAGTCTCCCCAAAGTATTTCAGAAAAGAAGAAATAGAAAAATCGAGAAAAGTGCAAGAGACTAAAATTAAGTCTCTCTTACAACACTGCAACGAAATAATTTTATGAAAATTATTCTTTAAAACTGTTTTTCCATTATTTATGGATCATTAAATAAAACTGTAAAAATAATTGGAACTATTTGTTACATTCAAATGCTTCAATATTTCTCTGGCCAAAGGTTAAAAAAATTCATGAAAACAGAAAATTTGATTAAAATGATATTAGAAATTAGAAACTGAATCCTAAATTGATGAGAAATAGCAGCTGATGCATTAACGTACCAAAAATTTAGATGCTGAAGTCATAAGAACATTCCCCACATTATATTCACAACAAATGATGTAACACAGTTTTCACAGATCTTGCACTCAGAGGGTTATGAACAACAAAAGCCTATTCAAATTTAAGCACATTAAAATAAATATACTTACAGTGGACAGTATGAAGAGGCAAATGTTTGTTCATATCCATGGAATTAGCATCAGAATCCAAAGAATGCACAGATATATTTATTTCATTTTGTTCCCACAAAGAACTTGAGTTATGCTTAAAATGCAAAGCGTCTTGCCAATCTTTGTTGCTTTCCCAGAGAAATATTTGGATCCAAACAGCAGCAACAGTAGCCGTAATATGCATAACGACAAGATGACGAAAACATCCATAACTTCCAAACAATTCCTATACAAATAAATTATAATTCAAATATAAAAATTAAACATGACTTAATTTTTAAAACCCTTAAAAACTTAAGAAGCTATTAAAATGTAATAATGTCCATTTTGTCAAAATGCTGGAAAAGCTCAATAAGCTCTAATTTAAAACTTCAACACTTGATAAGTAAAATGATACATCTTTGTATAATCCTTAAGCACTCAAAAGCAATGAATGCATATATATATACCACTAGTTTTATTGAAATTTATCAGTGTTTTTAAGCATGTTCCTATTAGGCCTTCATATTGAATAAGTTTGTTACAGCTGAATATTCAATTAACAAAATAAACCTATATATATATTACTGAAAATGTCATTTTTCATAAATGAATATCTGCTTTTGTTTTAACACGCGTTCAAGAAATAACAGTACTGAAAAATAGAAATATTTAAGACAAAATTTTTACAGAGAAGAAATATAACTTTCCCTAAATATGAACACTACAACCTGAATTTATACTTATTCTTTCATTTGAATTTGAAATTCTAGGCTGTAAAAACAAAAACATACCAGTTCACAGCCGTATATTGCTAAATTAGTATTAAAAAAAAATGTATTCTTTTCATACCACCAACTAAATGGTAATACTGATTAAAAAATGGCAAAAAGAGTATTGACAACTTCAAAATTTTAATTCACTTACATATTCCATATACATATTTATACATATGATATGAAGGACACTTACAAATTTGGTTTATGTGATTACGACAAAGCCTTGAGCACTATCTTCCTAAGAGGAGGGATGCCTTCGTGGAGGACTTTCTAAGGGAAACTGGCTTGTATACACATTACACATGGGGAAAACCAAAAAAATGCCCGTGCAGTCAGCCCGTTCACGGAATTCGAACCTCAGGCTGAGCTACCAGTGTTAGCGACTTTACCACTAGGCCGCTGGTGGGCCTCGAAGGACACTTACAGTCTTTGCGATACATTCTCCAAGCATGACCATAATCTGTCAGCACTGTACATATATATATGTTTACACATCTGGCATAAACATCAGTTTTACAAAACTTTTTATGCAGTAGATGAAGAGTGAAAGCACTATTTTATCGCAACATTTGTATTTAAAATTAAACACACACATTTAAAATATAATTCTACAGCTTCATTTAATTAGTATTGCAGGTTTAATTAACAATAAAGATAATTAGCACAATAGCATATTTTTCTGGCAATAACTTATAATCCTTTTAAATTACTCTCCCAATTTTCACAGCTCATATCTTTACAGTTTATAATTTTGAAAAACTGTCCTAAATCATAATTTTATTTCACAATTTTTCTTATCAATTTCTTATATATAACAGTGCCAATGCAACAAATTCTGTTGCACATGGAAAGCACATGCTGATTAATTCAATGTAGCATGCGTGCAGCCTTGGCCATCTAACGGCATCACAGACCTGTTATTGCTCTGTCTCATGCAGCTAAATGCCACTTGTCACATTAAGAAGAATGTCTGACTCAAAGGATTGAAGCATCTGTTTAGTATGCTACAGTCTCATTCATTACAGGTATTAATTAATCAAATCGCTCAACCTACTAAGAACGGCCATGCACCACTACCCACAAAAACAAGAAAGATCTCTTAATCTGTCAATCCTTCATATGCCCAGGCATTTTATTTCTCAAATATGTGTAATACTGTTATTAATGTCATTTCTAAATGCATTATGAATAAAAATTCTTAAAGAATACACACATGTATGCTAATAGAAAAAATTTTAAAAATCTCTAAATCCTAGATTTTACTAGCATAGTATGTTAGTAAAATTATATAAAATGCTTTTAAACCTTTCTGCTTACAGTTTTCACAAAAAAATATTGGCAAATTTCAGCATTTTAAATTGCAAAATCCAAAATATATTTAAAAAATTAAGATTTTTTTTAAATTATAGGAGAGAAAATTTTAATATTAAGTAAACAAATATATAATACATATATTTTATATATGTTTAATAACTTTTAATTTATTACAATGTATTTGCTCTAAAAGAGCTCTAAGGACATATTTAATACAAACTAACATATTTTAATAACACCCAATGTTGCACACAATGTAATGGTGAAAAACATACACACATGTAACACAATTTAAGGTTGAGTTGCATTTTTGCTTGTACACAGAAAACTGTACATGAATGGAGAAAAATCCTGAAAATTATTTGTTTTCCAATACCTAATAGAAGAAAATAAGCATCAACCTACTGGATATGGTAGCAAGTATTTTGTAGAAAAGTTGGGCATAGGGCATACTTAAAGAATGGATGAAGAATTATTTTATCAATGCCCAGACAATTTGAATACTAAGAGAATATATGTCTTAAACTATAAATCAACTACTGCATTGGGATGACACTCATTGCCAAGTGATTAAGAAATCCGCGGCACATTATTGCATTTCTCCTTTAAAGTAAATATTAGGTCTTGCATGTTTATTGGCAAACAACTGCAAGCTGCAATTTCTCATCCTATTATGTCCCAAGCATGCTACATGAAGAAGCATGCAGGTCACTTGATTGAATTCTCTCTACCATAAGGTTCTCTACTGCTCCCAATGAGCAAACATTGCATTCAGCAATCTCTTTATAACAACAATCATCCATGAAGACAACATTAGCTCAATATGTCTATCAATAAAGATGGGTCCCTCCTCCAACACCCGAGCACTAACATAACAACACATTTCTCATGTATTAATTTACTACTAGTATATATTTAGAAGTAACATCAGACAGAATTATGACTGGAGTCCCACGGCAGACTGAACCAACTTTCACTGGAGAACAAGACATTGCTCCATTCTTGTCTGGCCATATTTCAGTGATGTGAACCACTGCAAATGCCTTCTATGGCACTCTTTGCATAGTACCATAAAGATTACTGGTTTTCAAGCACATACCTCTACACAATTCAAATGTTACGGCAAAGTTTGACGAGATATTTTGCTTCCCATAAGTAATAAAGGTGAACTGCAATTTGGCTGGCTATGTAGCACCAAGTACATCTGGTTGTTACTAATAAATACAGGTCTTTTAACATGATTGTTACATATTTGCAATAACAAGGTCAGATCAGTACGCAAACAAGGTTAGGATCTTCCCAGCACAATGTCGCTTACTAAAGCCGAAGGAAGAAAACATAAAGAAAGTAGTTATTTTTGAGCAGACCAGGAGTCTATGATGTTACATGGGAACAAACTTTGCAATACAGTAAACTTCAGAATACATTACAATTTTTCATATGCTGCCCAAGATCAAACACAGATATAATGCTTTACACAATTTCACTCAACTGCAGCTTTGATGACTGTTGGGCCTTCTTCCAGCTTTCCTATAATATGAGATAAAAAGTTCAAATTCTATATATATATTCCGCCATGTTCAGAATTCCTAACCCAGTTTGTCAACAGTGGACACTACTTTTTCATCTACTTTTGAGTTATCATGTAGCTTCTAAATACAGGAATTGGAAATTTGCATAGTATAGAGCTTTCTACTGTACAAATAGCACCAAATTCTATGGAAATCTTTCTGCATGTTTATCTTTGAGCCTTTAGACACCTGCACAAAATTTCATCTCATAACGAAATGCTGTTTTAATTTATTATTCTACTTATTATATCAATAAATATGATAAAAACATGGACTCAGTAGAATAAGTGTCAAAAATACTGCTTCATGCAATAATGAGTTTTATAAATTTTAAAATTTTACAAATTCAAATAATTAATATTTGAAAAACCTGCAGATATTTTAAACAGCTCAATTATCACCAATCAAAACGGATTTTTACTAGTGGGTATTGTTAAATGCTGAGATTTACCCAAAAAGGTTTAGTAAAAGACCAAAATGAAAGAGTTTGCAAGCATTTTTGAATACAACTCTTTACTAAAGAGATAAAAAGGCATTTACTTTATTAGTAAAAAATACAATTATCAAATTCTGGGATTCTACAGTAGTATACAGAGTGTTTGGAAAAGGTAATCAAATGTTCTATTTATTTAAGAAAGTAAAATGCTTAATTAGAATCTAATATGAAAAAGTGGCAAAAAATCTCATGACTGGATAAAGGCAGCAAACCCCCTCAGGGATTTAATATCGTGCAGAATTTTATACAACTGTTCAACTAGTGGGTGGTTCAGAGGTATGTAATATTTAACCTTGCATATAATCTCCACGGTTTATAAAAAAGAATGTAAAACGTTTGTTATGCTTTAACAAAATGTCCTATATTTTTACATGCAGAATTCATAGACACATTCAAGAATGAGTTTATCAGCATGAATCATTTTTCAAACAAGCCAGTATTTCTAAGTCAATTTAATAAGATTTAACCAGATTTAGAGAGAAGATACGAAACAATTTTTGCCAGTTTGAGGGATTAATGGTTCAGTACAGCAGTGTTCTCAAATTAAAATGAAATACAGGTTGAATATGATCTGAAAGCAGCTGATGGGCCTGGAGGAGGAAGTTATTTTATAATAAAAGAACATCTTTTAACACAATTGAAAATTTACTGCATGTTTATCAAAACAAATATAAACAGCAGTAATAAGGTGCAAAGAAAACTTCAAATTTATCTTTACTTTCTATCTGAAATCTAAAGGTTGGTATTTGCTAGAAATGTCTATTGGTTACAAATTGTCCTTCAAATGTAATGACAGCTAAATATTAAATTTTCAGGCTGACTTATTCAAATACTTCCAATATATTGAAGCAACCATTAAATAAACTTAATAACCACTTTTAATTTAAACTAAAAATAAACAAGTTACAAAAACATCCAAAGAAAGCCTAAAATTTTAGATTAAATAATGACATCCTGTTCTTCCTTTTATTTTTTTATATTTTTCTATCATCCATACAGAAAAAATAAATAAATATTTGCAGTAAACAACTGAAAACTTCTTTATTACTACAGTTTTCAGTTACATCTCATGGTGTTTAAATTTTGATAAACTTTGTAACTTATGAGAAAATTACTAGAAGTAGAATCACAAATTGTAAAAGCTCATTGGCGATCTGATTCTTTTCCTAAAAATTTTGAACTATGGGTAAAGAACTGTTCACATGTAAATATAATCCCTAAGAAACAGATTCTTCTTATGCATAAATTTGCAACTGAAGATCTTTGATCATTCGACAAGTACAAATGAAATTTAATCAAATTTGTATCTTCAAACGTTTGAATAAGATTTACATTGCTGTGTAAATTAATTAGTTCTGATTGTATATTTACAGTGGCATTATTCGCTTATGTTAGCTTTTGGTAGAGTAAAATGTAAAATTAGACTCCAAATCATTCAAATCTTAAACTCTTTCTTCAAATTCTTGTCATAATAATGCTAATTAATTTATAGGAAATGTATTCGCAGACCATATAAAATTACTTCCAGGCCCCTAATAATATAGGATAGAGTTTATTAACTTTGCAGCTAGCACTTTAGTTTCATAGCTAATCAGCAATTTCTCCATAAATTTTGCATGTACATAATTTTCTATATTTGATGCATGGAAGCTTATTGAATATTCCATTTCCGCTCTACAGGGTGTATATATATATATGTTATATATTATATATATGTATATATATATATATATATATATATGAAATTCTGTACTTACAGCATCCTATGTTGAGCACAGATGAAAATGCTTACATAAAAATCTCTCCTTTATTTTGAAAAATTCTATAATTGTAAGATTTGACCAGGTTGGTTATTTCAGAAATAACTACTATACCAATTTACAATGTGAATCTGTGCAAACACAGGAAAATAAGAAAAGTTATTTTTTTTAATATGTACAAAGGTGCTGCAGATACAAAATTGTAAATAAATATAAGTGAACAAGTGCAGCAGAATTTGACAGCACTTAGTTTACATACTCTGGTTTATCTGCATAATTTGATTCTTTTGTTTTGAACAAGAAACACTCACTCAATCAAATGCTATCAAATTCTACTATTCTCACATGTTTGCTTACAAAATTCTTTTGAAGAAAGATACAAAAGTTAATCATGTGAATCTACTAATAGGACATACATGAACCTAAACACAAAGAATATGCATTTAAAAAATAGTAAGAACTTACCAGAATGTGTGGTACTTTAATGAATACCTGTGACTTTTCAGGCAATAACATGATAATGTTCCTGTATCAATGATGATAACCAGCCAATAAATGTTTCACTAAACTCTCGCAGTTATTGCCACCTTTTGTTAAATGTGTATTTAATCTTATTCTATTTGTGCCCTGTAAGTTGAGCCAATATTTATGAAGTAACTTCATTTCTGTTTCTAAGTTATGGTCTACATAACTTAGAAAGAATGAACTACATAACATTTTCTACGTAGCAAGAAAGTTGAAGAATTGAGAACCCTAATTTATACAATGAAATCAAATGTTACTTACAAAAGTGTACAATGAATGCACACACAGAATAAAAGATGGAGAGTGGTTTGAATTTAGAATACATTAATGATTGCTTAGCATTTATTTATTTTTTTTGGTACCTATAATTACAGATAGCTGGAACAGTGAGATAAGATATTCTTTATCATATTATCATCAATGACTCTATGGGAATGACAACACTTAGTTAATGCATAACTACTAAATTTGTAACAAATTCATTAAGTAAAAAAAATTAAAACATACTCAAACTAACACATTAAAATATTATTATAAAATTCTGACTATTATTATTAGGGTTAACACACTGCAGAAGGGATCAAAATGTTAAACGAATAAATATTACACTTATTAGACAAAATCTACATTCATTATAAAACTTACACTATGCCTTAATGCACAAGTAATTTCACATGTTAAATGCAAAAATAGCTTTGATTATTAACATGCAAGCTATGAATAATTTTATCGTGCCCATAAGCTTCAAGTTATCAATATAGCAGCATATAACAGAATCATACAGAAAAAATGGAGATAGATAGGACCTGTGCACTTTGTCACTATCAAATAAACGAGCAAATGATATAAAACAAATAATTACATAAATTTCATTGAATACTCAAAATGAACTTACTTTGGGATTTGAAACCAGACAGATAGTAAGTAAGATGATAAAAAGACAGCGGAAAACAGGAACAATTGCACTCACAACACTCATACATTGTGTAGATGATGTAAAAATAGCAGCAATCTCCAAGCAAGTAGATACAAAAAATCCCACGCCAAAAACTACATGAAGAAAAGAAAACAAGCTATTTAAAAAAAATTACTTAGAACTTCAAAATGAAAGGGGTAAGAGTAATACAATGATGAATTCCCAATACTTTCTTCTCAATTCTGTGAAAAGAAGAACACGGGGTGAAAATAAGTTTAAATAGTAATGACCACCTTTTGCATTCTCCCAGAAAGAATTCTTAATAAGGTTTACTGTAACAGTTCGCTTTTTAGCTCACATGCCACTGAACATAAGCATGTATTACTTTCTTTGGATTTGTTAACTCTGAGTTGAATAACCACATGTCAACGTGGTTAATTACAGATTGACTGACTAATCACCATGGCACTTATATTCAACATACTGATGATGGCTTTACAAAAATTTTGGCTTCAAGTCATAAAAACATAACATAAAGGACTGCTCAATAATGAAGAAATTAAAACTTTGGATCTGCACCGGGGTGGGGTGGGGGGTTAATGTTAAAACACACAGGTGATGAAAATAAATACTGAATAAATAATACTGTCTAACTGGTTTTATTCTGTATACATACACAGTATTTGTTTAAGTGGTTCTCCCATTACAACAAGAAGATAGACAGCTGAATCACACAGAGGAAAAACCTGACATTACACCATCAAATAGCTAACTTCCATTTTAGAGACAGACAAGCTATGTTTTAGAAAATTTATTGGAAAGCTAAATTTGAATCCCCAGTTCATAATAGAATAGATGAAAAACTTGAAAGAACATTTGCAAACTTGCAACCCAAAGGCTTTTACAATCTGGGTTAAAATTATATAATTTTTAGAGTAATGTTGAATGACTCAATATATTTTCTTAAATGAAAGACACTAAACACCAGGCTTAAAAAAATGTTAACAGTAACACTACTGCGGGGAAAGGAAAAAAGAAAATTGTTATGCAAAAAGTGAAAAAAGGCTTAGGAATTTTATGAATGTAAATTTTTATGCACTTGGTGTGCTGTGGGAAACCAACACTCATGCAAGATGGCAAAAGAAATAATGGTGAAATGACTGAATTTGACTCAAAAGTATCAAAAGAGAAATGAAGAGTTTTGTTTTCATGGATAATCTTGAATTCTGGAAAATTTTACAAAAACAGTTAAGCCAAAATGTCTAAAAATATAAATTTGCACCCTTTCACACACCTAACACTGCATTAGCATACCAGCCCTTAGGTTAAAGAATAATTTAAGCCTTCAAAACTGAAGCGACTGTTGGAAACAAAATTAGAAATAAATTTTACTAAGAAAAATGAATACTTAGAAGAAGACAACATTGGAGAAAATCTAAAAGTAAAAATTGAGAAGGCCATGTAATGTGCATATTAGCAAACATACTCAGAAGTACGAAATTGAGTATTTAAAAATCATATCTTGAACCACAGAATTCTGGTGGGCTCAGTATAACCAAGCAACTAAAAATTCACATTGACACTTCTCGACAGCAAGACCATATAAACAAAAACAAATTACTTTGATAGATTATTTAATAATTTTTGTCACATCTGACAACATGTGCATCCCAATAATTTACTTTATTAAACCAGAAAGTACATTTTTTTAAAATAGATTTCCACATTTTTATTTTATTTATTCACTTTCATATTTGATTATATATATGTATGCATACTTATGTTACTTCTGTTGTTATAATTTTAAAATTTATATGTCAAATTTAAATGAATTTACCTAACATGAGATTAGTAGAGGCCATTGATAGTAGCATAATATACTATATATCACATATAGATATGTTATTACATATTATGCAGAGTACAAAGTCCATGATCTAAACTCATTGAGATTTTGAAATTTCTGAATTTCAGATCATCAGTTTAATACAGTAAAATGACACGTTGAAATAATAAGATTAAAAATCTGAAGTAGTTGTTTAAAACATTTATGATTTAAAGGCAATCAAAATTTGCAAAAAAAAAAAGCTTAATATTTATTTGTTTTGTTAAAAATTTCTTTCAGTGCAAGGTTTTCAAGTTTTTTTGGGTGGTGCTTGTACTTTCAATAACTTAATTTCACAGATATAACTTCTTATCAAGTAATGAAGTACCATCAGGAGAATTTCCACTAAACTGTCATTCAAAATTTTCTTCACTAACGGTGGTGATATTTTTTGGATTTAAAATCATACAACAGATTTCACCATCCATTAGTGGATTACTGATAGGGGCAATGTCACAAAGGAAATCTTGTTATATAATCTTTATTTATTGTCTCGTTTCCACATTTCTTCACAAATTCCACTAATTTTACTGTTTTGCATTCTACAGGATGGAATATCTACATCAAAATAAGAGTACTGTTTTGGTTAATTTTCAAATCTCGCAAACTGCACCAAGGTTGCTACAGAAGGCAAATATCAAATATGCTTTTGATTTACAGATCCTGCTACAGCTCCAGAATTAGAAACACTTTTTGATAAAAATGAAAACTCAAACTTTGATAAGGTAACTAATAATAATAGCCTGCAAAAAATAATTAAACCAGAAAGTTAACACTCCGTTGGGCACATCTGACCTGCTAGGCACAATTAAGCAATCTGGATGGCCTCCCCTCCTTCAAGCATCATCCAGTTAGCTTCTTTTCTTCTAGTGCCATTGGCTGTCATAATGTCACAGTCGGTGAATATATAGGGTTTTAACAAAAGTTTCCTGACACCGCAAATATTGTCTGCACAAACAGTACATATTGGCGTGTTTAATCATATTTTGTCCCATTATTTTTTGCACTTGAAAGAAAGAGAATTGCATCAGAAAATCGTGTTGTGAAATCTGTAAAAAATATTGTTATTATATACAAGGTGTCTGAAAAGGAACTATCACACTATCAGATTAGAATCATCATTTACTTTCAGTTCTGTTGCAAAACATCAATGACAGAATGTTACCAAATCATGTGTATAGCTTTAGGTATTAATGTTGTATCATATGACACTGTGAAGGTTTGGTATCAAAAGTTCAAAAACAAGGATTATGACATTCAAGAAGCAGCACGGTCTGGCCCGCCTGCTAGAACTTGTGGGATCAGTATGAACCACTCGAGAACTTGCTAAGGAGTTAGACATTAGTCGCACTATACATCAGATAAATATGACGCACAAGTTCAATTACTGCGTGCCCCATGAGCTGACTCAAGCAGATAAGGATAGATGTGTTTGCCAAATACCAATGCAAGGACAAAATTTTGGACCAGATCATTACTTGTGATGAAAAGTAGATTTACCTCAACAAAAAAGGCTGAAAAGGGGGGGTTGGTCTGCACCCGGTGAGACTGCCCGGAGGGTCACAAAGGACAATTTGACTAACAAAAAGATCATGCTTTGTATCTGATAGGATTGCCATGATATTATCCAAAAAAAAGTACTTGGAAAAAGGTAAGACCCTCAACAGAAAGGTGTACAGCAAGATGCTAGTCCATGTTGACGCTGCTACCAAGGAAAAATGTTGAACTGAGTTCCGGCGCAAAAAGGTAATGTTCCATCAAGATAATGTGAGACCACATGCGTCTGCATTCACCAGCTAGACTCTGTACATACTCGAATGGGATCTTTTGCCACACCCACCACATATAGCCCTAACATCGCTCCTTCAGGCTTCTACCTTTTTCACACCTGCAGCTGCATCTTGCTGGTGCTATCTTCCATTCTGCACAGGATGTCCAAATTGAGGTTTATCAGTTTTTGGACACATGGCCACCAAGTTTATGAACCGAAGGCTTTGAAAAACCACCAAAATCATAGATCTTTCTTACTTTCATTAATAATGTAAATGTCATTTTAATGAATGCAAGTTTATGAAAACAGAGACTAAAATAAGTAAATATACAAATTTACATAATAAGACATTTAGATAAGAATACCATCCAAGCCTCGCCAATTCCAACTATGTATTTCCATTTTTCACCTGCCAAATAAGTTTCATATAGCAATCTGCACATAGTCTTACGCTGAGAACCATGTTTTGGCATTAGGTAGTGAACATAATTTTTTTTTTTTCGTTTGATTAGCTTTAAATCAGATTTTATAATTTTGTTCACAGTTCCTACAGAGATATTTTAAGATTTTGCAATAGCTCTTTGGAGGGCTAGATTTTCCTTTAAAACATGAGATGCGACTTTAGATTGAATAAGAGCTGTACATACATTTGTTGGGTATGCATTTTTTGCCTTTCTCCCAGTCAGATGTAAACTTTCACATTTTGTTCCTTTCATATTAATTATGTCACTTATTTTACGTGTAGAAATATTAAAACCACGCTTTTTTTACATCTTTTTGTAATAATTGTATGAGAATATTTCTTTTCAGACTGTGCAAAAATATAGCCTTCTATCCATTGTTTATTTTAGCAATATTTTTAAGAAAGAATTTTTTTTTCTATTTTATTTATTTTACTTTCTTTTTATGTTTATTTTAGCAATATTTTAAAGAAAGAATTTCATTTTTAGCAATATTTTAAAGAAAAGAATACTTTTAATGCTGCAGACCATAACTAAATCCTATTCCAATTTGATGCCAGTCACATTTAAATTTTAAAACTGATATTTTTAAATTCATGGAGAAAATGAAACTCGTTTAAAAAATGTATGAGTACTTTCTCTATATGTACACATAAGCTGTAAAACAACTGAATTTTAAAATTTTACAAAATATGAAGTAACTATGCCTTTAACACAAAACCACACAGCAAATATTTAAATACGGAAGAAATGCCAACTTGTACTGAATGAATATAAATAAAAATATTGAAAAAGAAAGACCTGCCATTAAAGCATTCTTTTCTTTACTTTATTTACTTATCTTCTAAGCATAAGTGTGTGCATATATTCAAAGGGATTTTAGATGGAACATTTTTAAATTTGTAACATTTTTTTTAAACTGTAAGCTTTTACTTCAATATCAGGTTTTTATATTTGATTTTACCACAAATACTCTATTTCCTTTCAAATTTGATGAAAAATCACTCTGTGCATCTC